TTATAATATAGATAGGTATAAACTTTCCCTAACATTTCAATCAAATGAATATTACAATAGATAAAAAAATCTGATTCAAGGGGAGGCAAGTAAATTTTTAAACATTTTATTATTTTGTATATTAATATCCTTTAGCTTGAAAAAGTAAATATAATAAGTGATGTATTATCATGATAGTTAAAAAGAAAAGTGTTAGTATACAACACGTTATTTTGACATGGTAATTTGTTATAATAAAATGACAAAAATAATCAGACGTTTGGAGGGATGGGATTGATTCACATGTATATGTATAAAAAGAGATAAAATTTACTTGCCGTACTATACGTGTGAACATTTAAAAAACATTTATAATTAGGGTTATCAACTCTCGGTCACACATGCAAAAAGAGTAAACTTTCTAAAAAAAGAAAAGGAAGGAAAAAAAAATAAAAAAAGGAGGTTTTCTGTTTTAAATTCCGGTATTTAATAAAATAACATTTCTAGAGTGTAATTTTTATTGTTTTATTTACAACTTCTATTCAATCCTTTTAAAGTTACAAATAAATATGTTTATTCACATTTTACTTCCTAACTAGAATTTTTAATGTTAACGTTAATAGAATTGAGAAAATAAAATTAATTTATGTATTCAATGTAATTTGCTAAAACTTATAAGTTATTTTAATAAACATGTATAACCCAATTTCTAACAAAATCTTTATATAATATACATTTATATAGTACATACTATAAATAAACATTTATATATCACATGCTGCCCAAAACGAATACAGCCTTAGTCCAAGCAAAGAGAAATCTGAGAGAAATCTGAACAACCCAGCCCTTTCCGTGTATTAACTTTGTAGGAAAAAAAACTCCAAAGTTAATTGTTCATCCTTGTTTAACCTTTCTTTCTGGTATATGCAAAACTTTTTGGAAATTAATAAATTTAAATATTAACTATTAATTTTTTCAATTTTATCTTATTTTTCGAAAAAGGATACAATAAGTAAAAAATAAAATAATAATGCGGTTACACTCTGAGACAGTTTTCGTTACGGGTGTCGTGCACGCGCAAATTATATGTTCTACGAAAACCCAACAAGTTCAATTTTTGTGAAATACATGTAATACTGTTATTTTCTTTTATGTGTTAATTAATGTGTGATACTTCAGGCCCATCTCTCTCGCCCTCTAACCTTCTTCTCCGTTTGTAACAGTCGTAACGAACCACCCCCTCTGCCAATTTCGTGATTGAGCAGTCGCGTCGGATTCAGTCGATAACGAATTACGAGTAATTATTCCGAGTTAGTTAAAAATTAGCAAAAGAATGACACGCTCTCTTGGAGCTCAACTCTAATTTAGCAATTAAGAGATAAACAGACGAACCAGTTAATAATTTCATTTCTCCGGAGATAAGAGTTTTTGTAAATTATTGAAAACGCGACAAAGTTGTTCCATTGTTCGTGAGTAAGTTATATATATATATATATACATATATATATATACACATACAGGGTGTTAACTTGATCATTTAGAATATCTCCATTGTTTTTGATAGTACGAGAAAATATTATAGAATCTTGTTTGATTTGAGAGAAAGGGTACATATTATATAATAATACTATAAGGGATGTATAGTTCTATGTACTAATCACATAAATTATGCGCCGTCAAATTACTTTTTGTTATCGAATTTATTATTCCTACTTATTATTAGATTTATTTGATTTACAAATGTTTAAGGGATTTGTAATCGTGATTGGCATGACATATATCTTGATATTCCAAGATATGTGCACTATGTGTCATGTGATGTGTATGCCACAGAATTATGATTCTCTCTCTCTCTCTCTCCTGCTCTTCCACACTCTCATCCTCGTATTATGTAAATCCGTTGTGGCGAGCGCGATCACAGACCTTTGGCCGAAGGATGCACTACAGCCGAGCGATGTCATGGCTTAGGACGATTCTGTATGAGCTACCGCGAGGTCACTTCGGGGACGGCGTAAATCCCCGAATAGTGATTGGCAAGTTCCCGACGATCCCATAGGATATATCATCAGGAACAGACGGTCACGACTTCAGCCCGAGAAATCCTTCGTGACTACTTATTGTGAATACCGATTTTTCACGAGAGAGAGAGAGAGAGGGGGGAGGGGGAGGGGTCTGCTCCTCCGTTCTAGAACTCGAGAATTTTGTATATTCGATGATAGCACTTATTAATCTAGAAATTCGGAATATCTAGAAATTGCGAAGATTATATAGAAATTTGTTATTCTCCCCAATAATTATTCTTATAAATTTACAATTCCTTCTACTTGAGTGCTATTTTGATAGATATTGAAATATTCCCATACATTCTGTAACGTACAACAGTAATGACAGAAAGAACGTTTCTACGTGCGTACGAGAATTACGTGTGATCGTCACTTATTGTTCCGCGGATGAGATTATGGGAAGAAATATTGCTATGGAATAGTGGAACTGACGATCTGCTATCCTTAGAAGAACATGTGTGCACATAGTGTATTTTCCACTTTAGAGTGTTTTAGAGTGAGTTACAATCACTGAGAGTGCAACGAGAGATTATCAAATAAGATAATTGAATTAGTATAGTGTCTGGTAACTGAACAATTAATCCAATATTGACGGCATGTTCAATATTGAGAACATTCTCTTTAGATTATTTATCACAGTTAACAAAGTTAGCTATTATAGCTCTTTCGCTTGTGTAAATTATTCTTACTTATGAATTGGTTAATCTGTTTTCAAATCGCATAGGGTGCATGTAGGTGTAAAGCTCTAATCGATAAACTGACCATCGACGCACAGAACGATGCACATATTCGGATTTATGCCGTGATTAATTTGTGTAATCATACAATTAATTAGCTACGGGCATTAAGTACAAAATTCTAAGAAGCGTGATAAGTGTAATAAAAACAATACGCGAGGTACATATAATATTGGCTCGTGTCAATATTATGTGTTAAATTACTACTTCCACAGAACGTGATGCATATAGTTCCCTCGTTGTACAACAATAGATCAATACAGGTTGCAAAAATCGTTTATACGAACTGCGTTAATTCAATTAGTTCTACAAATATGATAATTGCCACGCGCAAGTTGCTTGACGTGACACGTTCATTAACACTCTCGAAACATTAGTACCTATATAAATTTTTGCAGCTATCGTTATAACTTTTACTTAAATTTATTTTTTTAATCTGATTTATATAGTTTTTCTCGATCAAATTTTTTCTCTATTATTTTTGGAATGCGACAAGTTTAGGTCTTCCTTTAACGGACAAAGTAAAGCTTTTATAAATATTCATGAATAATACAAAAGAGGAAAAATTATCATGTGACATGTGAATGATTAAAATATATTTATAAATTTCCAGAGAGAGAGAGAGAGAGAGAATATTATTAGTAGAATAGCCATTTATTTTTAGACCTTGCGTGTCATGAAATAAATTTTTTGTGTCACAGTTGCATGTATTTAAAATTAACTAGACTACGATTTTATTAACAATTTATATTTTTAACGTTTAATCCACTAAAATGTTTTTACGTAGTATCAACTTGATTAAGTCACTGTTAGTCTTGTCAAAGAAATGTTGATTACAAATTATAGTGAACTGAATCGTGTTATACAGAGCGTTGATAAATCGTACGATCGCGTAGAAAATTCGATTAGGTCAACGTCAAATCGAAAGGCAAACGACCGGGAATTATTTGTTGCACAAACGAACTGCTCATTCGATGGTTCTATTAAAACTAGTGGAAACACGCGGTCCGATAAACTTTAGAAGCAAGCAAAAATTCTCTGCCGGGGAGGTTTCGTCCGATCAAATCGATAATCACCGGTACTGCATTGAAAGGCAAATTAATAGTCGACAGGGGGATGAGATGTGCGCGAACGAGGGAAACGGGGCAACTATTAACCCCTTACTTTCCATAGCTAGCAGTAGGTCGACAGTTACTTCCGCTTGTTTTTCTCCGTAATTGGATGGAACGATAAAACATGATACATGCATACAAGTTGGCATAAATCAGCGTGTATAAGTACTGTGAAAGAGAACATCTTACATTTTCTTTCGTACGTTTTATAAATACATTGTTATCGACCATTATATACGACTGAATTTGATTTTTCTCTTTACTCTTCCTGGATAAAATAAAGATAAGGTATAATCGTACGTAAGAAGGCGAAAAGAGCAAGGTAAATTTTTCACGACACTCATCCGTTGTAGTTAGGACGTTTTCGGCCGTAGGTCACACGCGGATGCGAGGAAGTGGAGCAAGTAGTGCAGGCGCGCGGGTGGTCGGACTTTTTCGCGTCTCTCGCTCGCTCGTTCGCACGCTAGCGAGCGATTATAATACAGCGTTAGCGCGCTATCCGCGAGCGAGCGAGCAGGCGAACAGGCCGTGATCGGAGGCGGGTACGCGCCGTACGCGGTCGTGGCGACCGTGGCGTTCCCCTCTCCGGTTAGCGAACATCAGGTGGGGACGGCGCAAGCGCAATCCTCTCCCCGATCCCCGCCGCCGCGACTGCCAACGCCGTCGCCGCCGATGCTGCCGCCACCGCCGACCGCCCCGCGCCGAGAGCGCAGTGTCGCGTCGAACCTCTCGCAGAGCGCGTCGCACGTCCGAGTACCGGCCGCCGCCCGTCATCAGTAGTCGCCGTACCGCGCAGCCACGTAACCTCTCACCTTCTTAGTTTTTAGTAGTCGGTAGTGTGGAGGAGAGAGTGCGGAGCGAGAGGGAGAGAGGCGTAAAGTAACTGGCGAAGGGAGATCAAGGGAAGAAAGAGAGAGAGAGAGAGAATAATATCGGAGTAAAAAGAGCAAGCGAGAGGTCGACAGCCTTTTTCCCTCGTGTACTCTATTAGTCGTCGTCGTCGTCGTATCGTCATCGTCATCGTCATCGTACTCGTCCTCCTCCTCGTCGTCGTCGTCGTCGTTGTCATCGTCGTCATCCGGCGCGACAGGCGCGGGTATATCCTGACCCGTTTCGCATACCTCCTTTTCGCCGTCAATAATTGCGCTCTCGTCGTAGTGCCGCGCGATTATCAGCGTACGCACCACCCTCCGATCGAAAGGAAAAGAGAGAAAGAGAGAGAGAGAGCTCCGAAACGTAGTTGGAGGCACCGGCACAACTGGAGCAAGTTCCGAGGGAAGTCTCGCGCGTGTCGTGACACCACCCCCTTTTCGTACGTCACGAGCCTTGCCGCGACGACGCTCGCCGCTGCCGTCGGCGACGAGATCACCGTCGCGAGCAACCGAGGAGCACCGCCGTCCGCAACTGCAGCAGCAGCAGCAGCAGCATCGTTTATCCCCACAATAACTACACTATAGAGACAACAACAGCACTTCCTACTTCAGATTCGAGCCAACTTATTGCCGTCGCTTCCACCCCGGGCACGCGAGAGCCTCGCGACGACGACGACAACGAGTAATCGTGCGCCGCGCGCTGCTATGGAGTCCCAGAATCAGGAGATCGTAGCGAGTGGTTCGCCCGCCGAGGTGCCGAACGATCCAGGGTATGAAGGAAATAAGCGAACGAAGGGGTGCGGGAGCTTGTCACCACGTGAACGGCGGCGCACACAGCCTCCGTTTACAATTCCCGGGCAACCACGAACGAACGAACGTTCCACACTACATCGACCATCAACGATCGACCACACGCGACAGAGAACGGATAGAAAGAGGGGGGAGGGGGGAGAGAGAGAGAGAGAAAGAGAGAGAGAGAGAGAGCGCGAGCGTGAGAGAGGATGTATGTGTGGGTGCGTGAATGCGTGGGAGAATATGAAAGGAGAAAGAGGACGGGCGGGAAAATGGAGCGCTTTCGTTCTCAGTGCGCTCGTCCTTGGAAAAAAAAGCTTGTGTTTCTGTTATCCTGCTCCGTGTCAGTGCTCTTGGTTTTTTAACGTCGCTCGCTTCTCAAACCGCCGCACTTTTCCTATGATTTCGATCGACTCCGACTCCGCGGTTGGCCGCCGCGTCGCGTCCTCAATCAATCCGCGATGCAGAAGCACGCATGGTGTTTATGTTTGCCGGGCGCGTGAATATGCGTGCCTCTCCTCGGACCGGTGGCGCCTTCTTTCAACGTTCGTTCGGTATACTCCCCCGCGTCGACGGGGGCGGATGGGAACGAGGGTGGGAGAGAGATGAATGGAAAGAAGGTGGGGGAGGGAGAGAGAGGAGATGCCGCCACCTTCGAATTCTGCCCGACACAATTTCGCGAAAGAACGCGAAATACATCCTGGAATTCACCACACACGTGAAGACACCACACGCCTCGTGATGGCCACGTGACTGGTAGATAGACTGATTCTTCCGGGCGAAATTACGCGTGGTCTGTCACGTGATTGCGCCCGAAATGGAGAGCAGGTGTTCCGCATAAACAACGTGTATATATAGTGCTCTTGAATTGGATTTTTCATCTTTTTTTCGCGATCGATAGCTGGATTAGTTCAATGTCAAGTATATATTTGATTTTTCCATATTCGATGAAGAGATTACGATAGTTTAGCTTCGGTCAATGAACTGATTACATTCTCGATTAAAACGATAGTGGGGTATCGGATCGATTCGTTCCATCGTACGTGTCCGACTTGTTGATGATATCTGTATTGTTCGAGATAATACGTAATGGTTTTATACGCAGCTTTGGTTATGACTAACGTATTTTAATTTGGCCAATCTCTGACGATTGTGAAATAATAAACTAATTAGTATTGGTTAGAGCTCAATGTGAGATAGTTACTTGTGCTTATCCAATGAGATCTTTGATCCTCAGTGAACGTTTCGCTTGATTTCGCCTGATTGTACGTGACTGATGAATCGATTAAATTATGTTGCTAACCATTATTACTAGCGTAAAATACGTAGAAATTGATCGATATTCGCTAGATCCTTCGATTAAATTGTTTATCCAACGGTGTTTGATTCTGTTTGACGATGTGATCCAACTACATTGAACTGTATCTTTAATTATACTGACGGTCATTCTTTATTGTTGTAGCGCAGGAATTTTCTATGAGTAGCTAATTTTGTCCTTAATAGTATTGAGAGGAAACGCAGTAATGCTCATGTTCTCCTGAATAACTCCAGACAAGATGCATATTCACAGAAATGTATATACACGTATATTTGTAAGAGATTATAAATATATATACACATATATATATATTTGAATTTATTAATTACTCTGACTCTCTTGGTTAAATGTTTTTTTTTGATCATTGAAGTACATTTGACACAATTTCTTTCACAGATTAGGAAATATACTTGAATTTGAGTTTCACACACTAGTATATTGAATTAAAGATTAATTTTGAAACATATTCATATAAGAAAATGATCAATCGTTCAAAGTATTACATAAATAATTTAATAAAGTTTTGTATATTTGCTTTTCGAATCAATATAAAATGTACTCTAATGTACGGATATACCATGAGATAATTTAAATAAAAATTGTGTGTTATGAAAAACTCTACATATTTACTTACATGTTTAAATTTTGATACTTTCTCTCTTATAAATGTATCAAGATTTTTCATCGAGTTTTTTTTTGACACGTCGGATATACTTTAAAAAGTATTCAATAGTAAAATAACGAGAGAGAAATACGTTGATATATATTCTATGTTGTTTGCATCGATAGATAAATGAAAATATAAACTTCTTTGAATGAATTTATCGAGATAACATCTTGATTATTTTTCTCTGAACAGATTAGCTTCCATCGGAGAGAGGCTGAATATGATTTTGAATTAAGTGATACTGACTTTTAATGATAAATGTGATATTGAGAATATGTATAATTGTCACGTTAAAATTATCTGTGTGTGTGTGTAGATACCAGTTCCAGATTTAACTCTCGCGGTGCTCACGAGTTAGGAAACGATAGCCCACTTTGATTCTTCCAATTGGGAAGCTCTAGATGGATAGGCGGATATAGAGGCAGTGCAGAGAGAAGGCGGGAGAAGTGACGGGCAGGAGGGGCGAGCGCGCGTGGGAGGAAGATGGCTATATCGTGGCTCGGAAAATCGATGTTCAAATGCGCCACCACGTGATTACGTCCACCAAGCGGGAGCGTTATCTCACCAGTATAATAATGCGAGGCGCGATTATTTGCGACGACGATGATGAAGAGCGAGCAGTAGTGGGG